ATCTGGGGCTCCATGCAAGATCTCACCCCGTGGGGTCAAAATGATCACAAGAACGGTGAGCAAAAATCCCAGAACCACACGGGGGGACCTAGTGAATGACCTGCTGAGAGCTGGGACCAAAGTAACAAAGCCAACCATCAGTAACACACTACGCCGCCAGGGACTCAAATCCTGCAGTGCGAGACGTGTCCCCCTGCTTAAGCCAGTACATGTCCAGGCCCGTCTGAAGTGCATTTGGATGATCCAGAAGAGGATTGGGAGAATGTCATATGGTCAGATGAAACCAAAATATAACTTTTTGGTAAAAACTCAACTCGTCATGTTTGGAGGACAAAGAATGCTGAGTTGCATCCAAAGAACACCATACCTACTGTGAAGCATGGGGTTGGAAACATCATGCTTTGGGGCTGTTTTTCTGCAAAGGGACCAGGACGACTGATCCGTGTAAAGGAAAGAATGAATGGGGCCATGTATCGTGAGATTTTGAGTGAAACCCTCCTTCCATCAGCAAGGGCATTGAAGATGAAACGTGGCTGGGTCTTTCAGCATGACAATGATCCCAAACACACCGCCCGGGCAACGAAGGAGTGGCTTCATAAGAAGCATTTCAAGGTCCTGGAGTGGCCTAGCCAGTCTCCAGATCTCAACCCCATAGAAAATATTTGGAGGGAGTTGAAAGTCTGTGTTGCCCAGCGACAGCCCCAAAACATCACTGCTCTAGAGGAGATCTGCATGGAGGAATGGGCCAAAATACCAGCAACAGTGTGTGAAAACCTTGTGAAGACTTACAGAAAACGTTTGACCTGTGTCATTGCCAACAAAGGGTATATAACAAAGTATTGAGAAACTTTTGTTATTGACCAAATACTTATTTTCCACCATCATATGCCAATAAATTCATTAAAAATCCTACAATGTGATTTTCTGGATTTTTTTTTCTATTTCTGTCTGTCATAGTTGACGTGTACCTATGATGAAAATTACAGGCCTCTCTCATCTTTTTAAGTGGGAGAACTTGCACAATTGGTGGCTGACTAAATACTTTTTTTCCCCACTGTACATGTACACATGGATTTTTTGTTATAGATATGTGGTAGTAGAGTAGAGGCCTGAGGGCACACACTTAATATGTTGTGAAATATGTTATGAATGTATTGTAATGTTTTTAAAATGTATAACTGCCTTAATTTTGCTGGACCCCAGGAAGAGTAGCTGCTGCCTTGGCTGCAGCTAATGGGGATCCATAATAAATACAAATACAAATGCTGCAAACATTTTTTGGGAACCCTTCCCCAGATCTGTGCCTTGACACAATCGTGTCTCAGAGCTCTATTGACAATTCCTTCTACCTCATGGCTTGGTTTTTGCTCTGACATGCACTATCAACTGTGGGACCTTATATAGACAGGTGTGTGCCTTTCCAAATCATGTCCAATCAATAGAATTTACCACAGGTGGACTCCAATCAAGTTGTAGAAATATGTCAAGGATGATCAATGGAAACAGGATGCACCTGAGCTCAATTTCGAGTCTCATAGCAAAGGGTCTGAATACTTATGTGAATAAGGTATTTCTGTTTTTTATTTGTAATACATTTGCAGAAATTTCTAAAAATCTGTTTTTCCTTTGTCATTATGGGGTATTGTGTGTAGATTGACGATGAAATAAATATGTTTAATCAATTTTAGAATAAGGCTGTAAAGTAACAAAATGTGGAAAAAGGAAAGCGGTCTGAATAAATTCTGAATGCACTGTAAATTGTGCCCAGTAGTCCTTTTTGGGCGTTTATCCCTGAATGACAGATTACTGAGCTCAATCTGTTGTTCAACCTCTCATTGCCAACTGCTGGAAGATCAATAAAGCGAGATGTGAATACAGGGTTTCGCATTAAAGTGGTGACTTTTGACCTTACAAGAGAAACATAAAGTACAATAATATTTGGAGTGCTGATCCAAAAATGTGTTTAATGAGTACTGCTGCATTTTCATTGCATGAGCGTGGTACTTCTCCCTTTGTAATCATTTGCTTGGAATTAATGTTAAGAGCGCCTTTTATGTTTGGAAGTGGAATGCTAAACATTGAAGTTTATAATAAGACAAAGGCCAAGTAATAATCACATGTTTTTTCTCACAAATTACAATTTTGAATCCGTCCAAAACCCAAGTCCAAGAGGTGAAACTTTGGATATGATTGCGACCAAGGTGGGTTTAAGAAAATAGTTGGAAGGCTATGCATAATTGGGGTGATATAAACCTATAGCAACATGATTTTACTAGGACACTACCTCACAACTATTTTAATTGTCAGGCCAAGCGATTGACCTGATGCATTTTCTGGCACATGTCAAGGCTGGCCTTGGGCTGATTTAAATGTGTAAAAGTGCAGCCAATACCATCACCATTAGGTTAATCTAGGTTGTTACCAGGTATGCCAGTCCATCATTATTTACATTGTGTCTGTCTTTGTTCACATTTTATTTCACACAAGAAGCAAACAAGGTAAACAAAAGAAAAAGTGTTTAAGTGTTTTGTCTTTACAACGGATATTTAACGCTACAACAGTACATTCATTTATTGTTTTGGAATTCATATAACATGCAGGACTAAATGCATACAGTATGTCTATAACACGGTGCCCCTCCAAAACTAACCATATAGTTTGTTAGTAGAGACCTTACTGAGCATTTTCCACCCCACTTTAGCTGAGACAGGTAGAAAACGTTTCTCTCTACAAGCCGATAAGTATTCCATGTACATCCTATTCATTACAATGAATGCATTGGGGGCTATGGAGGGGTGGAGAGCAAAGTGCTGCTGGATATGTACGACACAGTCCCCCTCCAAAACGAACCATATTTGGTTAGTAGAGACCCTACCAAGTCTTTTCCACCACACTTTAGCTGAGACAAGTAGAAACGGGCGGCAGGTAGCTTAGTGGTTAAGAGCGTTGTGCCAGTAACCGAAAGGTCGCTGGTTCTAATCCCCGAGCCGACTAGGTGAAAAATCTGTTGATGTGCCCTTGAGCAAGGCACTTAACCCTAATTGCTCCTGTAAGTCGCTCTGGATAAGAGCGTCTGCTAAATGACCAATTATTTATTTATTTATTATTTTTCTCTCTACAGCCCAATATTCTCAACATACCAGTGTCAACATTGTATTTTCTTTCATTACTGGTCGTAAAAAAAATATATATATATATTTTGTATTCGTTATCATAAATTACTTATTGCATTTTCTTGTTGGTACAATATATCATTTGAATTAGTTTTCCACATTGCAATGTTTTGAAATGCGGGCGTTTATTTTGAAGGTTTCCTCATTACCATACGAAAGTTACGTCATCTTTTGGCTAGGTGTCAGGAAGATTGAAATCCGCAAACAAACATCAGTCAGTCAGTGTTCGGTTCAACACCCTTCATACTGGATACAAGACACGACATTTATTAAATCGTAAGTACTACTAGTTATGGCCGTGTACTAGAAGGCGACGACTTGCATCAAAGCGCGCGGTAAAAGCCAGATGTAAGCGCTAACGTTAGCATGACAGCCAGATGTGTAAATTAGCTAGGTGACAGCTAGCTAAACATGATCCAACCGTGTGTTAAACATTCATAGTACGCATGTATTCGGGTATAATTTTTGCATTCATAATACATATCGAATTTTACAAAACACAGGACCCTGCTAACTAGTAGGTACAGTAGGTACAGTGGCGTTAGCTTCAAGCAGCAAAACAGACAGCGATAGGTAACGTTAGGCTAGCTGTTAACTTGCTATGCTAGCCAGCTAATCAAACCCATTTGACAAGCCAGTGAAGAAAACGAATCACTACACGAGCTAAAACCAGCTCGAGCGTATCGCATCGGTGTAACATTACATTAGCTCGCATTGGCAGGAACATTGTCTGTATTGTAACCTTAACGGCAACGCAGATTTTCCAATATGTGTTAATTGTTTTCTTATCTGACTGATAGGTCGCTAAGTGTAGGGCCTGTTATTACGCACCACAGAGGTTCTGACGATACCATCCTCATCTGGCAACTTGGTACATACATCACATTAACAAAGTGATTGAATGTGTCAGAGAGAAGACCCTGACCCCTGGGTGAGGACAGTGTAGTAGTTTCATTCTATGAGAGGAACACAAATGTCACTCTGATATCCTCCTACGTTGGACTTAGATACACATGTAGCAGCTGCAGAGAAGACATGGAGTGGGTGTTATTAGATTCAGATGAGTCACCTGAACAGCCCTCTTATGTCTCTGCTGCATATTGTGTGTGCTGTGTGCAGTTATGCTAGTTTTTCTGGATCGTACTCCCTGTGTGTGTGAATTTGCCTAATTCTGAGTGCTAGACTGTGCATGTTGTTACTTGTGTGTTTTTGTCAGTTGAGTTGGCTTTGGATCAATTCATGTGTTTGTGTGTTCCTGTTTTTGAACCCATTCTTCTCTCAAATGAGATGGACTAACCTACTGCCTGGTAGGCCTGTGTGTGTATCCCTCCCTGTCTATGTACTTCATTATTTATGGACCCCCTGGAAGAGAACAAAGACAAAGAGATGTAACAATAACAGTGGCCAAGTTCAGCTGGCATCAACATGTCTCTCTCTCTCTCTCTCTATCTCTCTATCTCTCTCTCACACACAAAGGTAGGTGTTGTGTAAACCACCACACCTGCCCTGCTTATTCTCCATGTTCCATGTACTGTCATTCTCAGGGGAAATGTCCATTCTATGAAGTCTATTTCTATGGATCTAACCCTACTGTGCTCTGAAGGGGGACCATAGGGATAAGTGCTCTCTTTTTTTACCTAATGGTCACTAAGAGCTAACAGGAGCAATGCTGGAGAGAACCAGGACAACACTACTCCACGGAGGCACTTTTAGGCCTAAAATAGTGTGTGTGTTGTGTGTGTAAATATTCATGGTTTGACACTTGTAGGAATGACATTAGACTTGTTTTCTCTTTTCTATTGCCTTTCTTTCTCTCTCTCTCGTCAGTAGGAGGAGGGCTGTGTCTGGTAGGCGTGGCACGGGGAGTGGCTGACCTTCATGCTGAGAGGTCACGGAGGAGAAGACCCATGGATGAGGGTAAGGAGGAAGGGAAGAGGTGGGGATACCATTGGATGAGGGTAAGGAGAGGGTGACAGGGAAGTAATGGAAGAGGGATCCCCGTCTCATTCAGAATTGAATTCAAAACACTCCTGCCGACATCCCAGTACATCCATGGCAATGCCCCTCCATACCTCAAAGATCTTCTCGTATCCCATAGCCCCGCCCGCAACCTCAGATTGAGCGATAGCCTGTTCTTCCACGCCCCCAGGACAAAGCTCCGCTCCATGGAAGATCTGGCTTTCTGCTCGACCGTTCCCCGCCTCTGGAATGCACTTCCAGACCACCTGAAGGCACCACAGACTCTGGGCTCCTTTCAAACGGGCCTTAAAACCCTTCTCTTTAGGAAGGCCTTCTGTTAGTAATAGCTGTGTTATAGCCTTGTTGTCCTTGTTCCTTGTAGCGTCAGCTGTGTTCTTTGTGTCAGTTGCCCTGTCTAGTTGTGTCCTTATTTTGTCTATGTCTGTTGTTTTTATTTATTTTCATGCATTCACTGTAGCAAATTGAGATTGGTTTTCAATGAAAAGCGTGTTACAAATTCAATGATTTATTATTAGTGGAGGCAGGGGGAGAGAGCGGTGAAATATGTGCTATGTCCTGATTCTCCACCCTTTTCCCGCCAGTCATTGATTTAAAAGCTTGGGATTAGTGTAAGCGTTGACCGGAGGGAGTTTCTACCATTGTAAAATCCATGCGTGAAAGTGTGCAAATGCACATTCTGGAAGAAGGGTGAAGAATTGGGACTCAGCCATGGTGAAAGTCTATCTGATAGGCAAGAGGGAGCTATCACTGTATTGCTTCTACCTACTAACTTTAATTCTCTCAGGTCATCATGAGTGCCTACAGAGTAGATTGGAATCTCCTGCTGTGTGTAATGACGACAACAGAAGCTCTAGTCTAATCTCTCTTTATCTGCTCCCAGGTCAGTGTGAGAGGGAGGGGCCAGTGTTGTCTGAGGGTCAGGAGGGTGGGGTCGACCTCCACTGCAACCAATCAGACCCCTCGGAACCAAATCAGGTCTCTGCCGACCAAAACCAGAACCGGACGCAGACTCAACTAGATGATGGTCAGAGGGTTGGACGAGACTTCATCCAACAAAACTCTTTAAACAACAATGTGGAGGAAGATGAGGAGGAGGAAGATAGAAAGGTGAAGGGAGAGGAAGATGGTGATGAGGATGATGTGATTGTGGAAGAAGAGGAGGAGGACAGCAGTGTGACTCGCGGCCAATCACCCGACACTCCTATGACTGACTGCTCCTTCTCAGACACAGGTAAGGTGGCACACACACACACACACACACACACACACACACACACACACACACACACTGACAGCTTGGTTTGTAAAAATATATCACCTTTACTTGTATGAGTTTTATTTGGTTGGGTACCATTGATCAGGAGGAGGCAGAGGACCAGTCAATTCTATTAATTAAACTGTGTGTGTTTGTGGCCATGGTTGAAGGTCTGGGTTACTCAATTGGCTGGGCTTGTGTGTGTGTGTGTGTGTGTGCGTGCGTGCGTGCTAACCCTGTTAATGGGTCAGCGGATCAGATTTGTAGCATACAGACCGGGTCTCACCCAATTAATTACACACAATGATGTCAGAGCAACTACATCAGCTACAGTCGGAGACAGCTAGAGGAGAGGGGGACAGCAAGGAGGGGGACAGAAGGAGAAGAAGAGGTAGAGAGACAGGAGAGAAGAGATTAATAGAAAGTCTGGGAGAAGAAAGGAGGGAAGACAGTAGGGAGCCAGTGGAGAGGGAAAGTGATTGAGATGAGTCTGAGGATCTAAAGCTTTGCTGTAAGGGTTTTTTCTGTTTATCTTATTGTCTTTTGGGTATGGGGTCTGAGTCTGTCCCATAACACATACTCTCTGGACATACCTCTTTTGGGTTTGTGTGTGTGTGTGTGTGTGTGTCTGTCGGTTCAAGTGCTCAATGATGCATTATACCATGTATGTTATGTCCCCAGCAACCAAATGAATTTCCCACCATGGGATAATAAAGGATTTATGGACTTATCAGGACTTGGGATTGCTCAAACGGATTGTATGGTTTCCACAGCACAGAAACACAGAGGGAAAAGTACCCAGCGTCAGTGTGTGTAATCGTTAATGCCAAGCTGAGGATTTGCTCAATCTGGCTTTTCACTGGCACTTGCTGTCTGGTTTCAGGCTTTTATAACGGTTTAACTTTGATGTGCTCTCTTTTTTCTCTCTCTCACTCTGTAGGCAGTCCGGTAGAGTTCCGGCCCTCTGTGTCTCCAGAGACTACAGATCCCATCAGCCCCAAAGCAAGAAGTCCAGACGAACCCTGCTACAGTGACCCTGTGGGCAAGACACACACCTCCACCACAGGACCCAACTGCACCACAGAACCCACCACCTCCAGCACAGGACCTACCACCTCCACCACAAGCCCCACCTGCACCACAGGACCTACCACCTCCACCACAGGCCCCACCTGCACCACAGGACCCACCACTTCCACCACAGGACCTACCACCTCCACCATAAGCCCCACCTGCACTACAGGACCTACCACCTCCACCATAAGCCCCACCTGCACCACAGGACCTACCACCTGCACCACAGGCCCCACCTGCACCACAGGACCCACCACCTCCACCACAGGACCTACCACCTCCACCACAGGCCCCACCTGCACCACAGGACCCACCACTCCCACCACTTCCACCACAGGACCTACCACCTCCACCGCAGAGCCTATCCCTAGCCCTGCCCTCCTTGCCACCTTACAGGAGCTAGGGGAACGTGGCGATCACTCCCACCTGCCTCAGTACCTCCATCAGGTGTGTGCCCCTCCCTCTCCATTCTATATATGGTATTTCTACCTGCCTGCGGTGTTCTCGAGTGAACATTCCTCTGACAGCCAGGTGTGGTTCCCTCTACGTGTGGTGAGCTGTGATTCTGTTTACCAGACTGACTGAACACACACGCACACGCACACGCACACGCACACACACACACACACACACACACACACACACACACACACACACACACACACACACACACACACACACACACACACACACACACACACACACACACACACACACACACACACACAGCCATTACAGAGCTGGCAGGCGTGACTGGGTGGGGTAGAATCCCTGTCGTTGTGATACACAGCCTCACCACATAACTCTGGATGAAGTGAAGTGAAAACAGTGTTGTCTATTCCCATCTCCACCAGTAGGGGGCACTGTTGTCATGTCTGATCATCGCCTCTCTGTCTACTCCCTACCTTCTTCAGACACATTCAACTGTCTCCTGGGGCGCGTTCAGGGGGGTGCAACGTTACACAAAGTTCATAAGAAATGTATTGTTCAGAACAGACAGGGCCCAATCCCAAATGGTCCCCAGGACCCTATGCACAGATCTAAGAGGATTTGACAGGGCAATCAATATGGTAATAGCTCCACCTTGCCCTCTGATAGGCTAGGTGAAAGTTTCACTATATAGCGGGCTTTCAAAGTGAGGAGTACCTCCCCAAAGGGGCAGCAGAGAGTTTCAGGGGAGGCGTGAAAGGAAAGCCAATTCAAACTGTATTCGGTTCTCTAAAAATGAATAAATATTACAGTGCATTCGGACAGTATTCAGACCTCATTACTTTTTCCACATTTTGTTATGTTACAGCCTTATTCTAAAATTGATTTTAAAATAAAATCCCTCATCAATCTACACAAAATACCCCATTATGACAAAGCAAAAACTGATTTAGAAATGTGTGAAAAAACAATCAAATATATCACATTTACATAAGTATTACTCAGTACTTTGTTGAAGCACCTTTGGCAGCGATTACAGCCTCGAGTCTTCTTGGGTATGACGCTACAAGCTTGGCACACCTGTATTTGGGGAGTTTCTCCCATTCTTCTCTGTAGATCCTCTCAAGCGCTGTCAGGTTGGATGGGGCGGGTCAACTCCTAAAATGGCACTTGTGGCATCATTTTAAAAAATGCAATTACAACCTGATTTTCTAGCATGGCTTGGGCGCAACTGCAACAGAGCTTTTAAAGGGGCAGCGGAGTCTTAAAAGGGCAATGGACATACTTTGTAATAGAAACAAAAATGGAAACCTGGATATTCTGAAAGCCTTTGTATTGATTAACATTTTCTATTAAGTCAGTTGCATGTTCATTAAGTTGTGCAGAGCATGATTTAAGCCCAAATGTAGGAGTGGGAGACTAACAGTTTCATTGCAACTATTTATTTTACAACAGAATGTAATAAATTTCTCTTTAAAATAATTTTGCGGGGGCGCGGTTACCTTGATGTTCTCTGAAGGGAGGCCCACTGTCTCAGACTTTGAAAACGCTTGGCTTATACCAATCAAATCCTCTCAGACCTCCACTAGCGCATAGGGTCTAGGGCAGGGATCATTAACTAGATTCAGTTTCGGCAGATTTTTTTTCTTGAGCGGATAGTCAGGGGGCCGGAACATAATGACAAATAATTTGTAGACTGCAAATTGGCTGCAAGAAGCCCAAAGAGATATAATATTTGACTAAAACAAAATAATTTCAAACCTTGCTTAAATTTGTATACGACAGGGGTTCCCAAACCTTTTTGGCCCGCAACCCCATTTTATGAAAAACTTTTGCGACCCCCACCATGTGAAAAAAGAGATGTAATCCACCAGCCAATGTAAAAAAAAATTTACAATTTGGGCTATGACAGTCTATTACAAATCAGTCTGAGAGTACCTTTGACAAAATGTCAATCTGAAGGAAGTATGGTTTGAAGTGACTGAAATGCATCAGAAAGGTATTGGGAAGTTCAGAAGATCATCAGGCAATCATTTTGTATGCTCTTTTGTGTAGAAAAGAACATAATCACTAACCATGTTTCCATCCAACCATATCATGCGGATGAATCACCTGACGCATGAAAAAAGTCACGACCGGGCTGATGGAAACAGGAAATGCCGGTACAATTTTATAAATGCCGACAGACAATTTGTTCGTTCGACATGGTGGGATCTTTTTGTGTTGGTAAAATTAATTATGCGAGAAATGGTGGTAGAAACGCCTTTATGCGCATATATTGATATAATAACCATCATATTGAAGTAAACTTGGAGTCCTCCCACTACGACTCGGGAAAGCATGCAGTTTATTAGGCTACAGATTAAATAAATTATGATGTATCTGTATCTGAGAGCTGTTGGCTAGACCTCATGTGCCAAGACCAGAGTGGGCCGATTTTCTATATAATGCAACCGTTTTTGTGACAAAACCATCAGTAGAGTTGAAAATGCGATGAAAACCATTTAACTTGTATATTTGCATAGCCTTTTATCCGTAAAAAGTCAGTTAGATGGAAACATCTCTGGTGGGAAAATGCGCATATTGTTTTATGCAGATTTTAGAATATTTGCATGAAAATTGTTCGCAAATTGAATGGAAACCTAGCTACTGATGATGTTCTTTTCCCCCCAGTCTTATTTAGTGCCTGGTCTTGTCCACCCTATTCTAATGAGCCATGCACGGCTTGTGGGCATTGTAGAGGGAAACAGAAGACGAATATGTGTTCCTGAGAGTCTTATCTTTCATTGATGAGGTCATAATATTTTGTAGCTTAAACGGTTCAAAGGATAGAGCCATGTTGGTAGGAAGAAAACAGAAACCACTCTGTTTATTACAAACGCATCTAGCAGCTACCAGAGGTTACTGATGTAACCCCGGTTCTATGAACCAAGTGCGATTTTATTTATTTTATTTCAGTTTCTCTCGCGACACCAGTTTGCGACACGCTGGTATACAATCACATATATATCTCTCTATTAGGCGTTGGAATACTTTGGAACAGATTTCCTAAATTAAAATCACTTGGAGCTGATTTGCTGGTGTTTTTACAGCCTTTTATGTCCCACAAAAATATATATAAACTTGGGGGGCCAAATAAAATCACCCGCAGGCCAAATTCGGCCCGTGGGACACCAGTCTAGGAGGCCATTTGGGATTGGGCCATGGTTATCTGTTGGGTAGAACAGGGAATCGTGTCAGCTCTATTCATTTTCTTTCTGAAACGCTCTGAATGTTTCACCTCACTGAACAAACCCCTATAGTAACCAACTCACCTCTGTTCACCTCTGACCTTCTCCTGACCTTCTCAACCCCTGACACCAATCTGATTGGTCATTAGCTAAATAGCACTTAGCAACCCCAGGAGTTCTGACCAACCAGAACCAGCCCTTTTTAAGGATAGAATGAGAGTTTATGTTATGTCTCCCCTGGTTGAGTTTTAAAGGGGAGCTCTCTAGGAAGGAGATTACATTTGATACTGTTATACTTCCTATAAAAATATTTAGTACATTAGGAAGTCTACTTTTCTCTTTTCTCTTGTTTTAGGGGTAGCATGAAGAAGTCTCTGCACACTTCCAGTCAGATGCACATTTATTTAATTGTAGCTGAGCTTTCGGTCAGTTAACCTTCATCAGAGCATCTGTTTTAGGGGTAAAAAGAGCACCTTTGTCCGGCTGTAATGTGGTGAAAGTTTAAACAGTTTAACTGTTTAGAGTAAGGCTTATAAAATAGCCCAGTGCCTCTGGACAGCAAGGCAGCAGAACAGTTAAAGCCTATTTTCTTTCTCTCTCTCACTGCCTCCCTCGTTCACTCTCTCTATGGCTCCCTCTCTCCCTCTCTCTCTCTCTCTTAAACACTCACCACAAGCAAGCGGAGTGAGCAATTCATATTTATGTAAATGTATGGTAGCTTGCAACAAAGAAGAGAGAGAGAGAGGGATAGAGTGTCTGCGTGAAAGAGAGTGTGAGAGAGGTCAGTGGGTTATTACCGCCTCTCACTACCGCGCTCCTGCTCTCTTTCTCTCATGTACACACGCTCCTATTCTCTCTCTCTGACAAACTCTCTTTCACACACGTGGCTGTTCTCTCGTTTTCTGTTTCTCTCTTCTCTCTCTCTCTGACAAACTCTCTTTCACACACACGGCTATTCTCTCGCTTTCTGTTCCTCTCTCTCTCTCTCTCTCTCTCTCTCTGTCCCGTTTTTTTTGTCCACTTCAGTCAGCAGGAGAAGGATATTAACATTCGCTAGAGAGGTAGAGTCTGTTTGTTAAACACACGCACACGCACACACACACGGACACGGACACTGCTGCTGCGTCAGGCAGGCCGTGGAGCTCGTCTTACCTCCCGTTAGCTACAGGGGATACAGGGGAACTTTGGAAACTGCAAATGCAGCTGTGATCAAGAAGGATTTGAAAGACTTTCCTGCTATTTCCTGTATTTTCCACTGTGCTCATGGGGACTAGCCATGTTTCTCGTGTGTTTGTGTGTGTTTATCTTTATTCATCTTAGGGAGGGGTTTTGGGGTAAAGTGTTGCGATTCAGCTAAATGTCTTATGTTACCTTGGCATGTTCTGTCTTGGGGTCAAAGTCATACTAGACGTAGTTTAATTATTATTCAGTATTAGGCCTGTAAGATGTTTTAACTATTGATGCTACAGTTGATGGTAGGACAGTATGTATTTAGTCTTTCTTGGTGGAATACACTTGTTAGTTGTTGTAGTTGTTATGGATGACTAGAATGTAAAAGCAGTGTGTACGTGAATGTACATGTTGTCCTTTAACCCTCTCCATTCTGTCTCCATCTCTGCAGGTAGCCGAGGCCTTTGTCCTCCAGGAAGATTGTATCCTTATCCCTTGTGTGTGTGTGATACTGAACAGGTGTGTTATGTCCTCTAGGTCTAGGAAGATTGTATTCTTATCAGTCAGCTCATGTCTTTCCGGTGAATTCCAGTGTTCTCTGGTTCATTCTAACTCTCAGGCCAAGGCTGTGTTCTAGTTTAAATGTACCACAACATTCAAGCTGCAGTGTTTGGACACTGTTTGGACACTGTTTGGATTTGAACATCTTCTCATTGTGCTCTTTGTTTTAGTCTTGATCAGACACGACCACTACAGATGGTGTGTGTGTGTGTGCACACGCACGTGTGTGTGGTGTGTGTGCGTAGTGGCTTGTTACAGAAAAGCTGTGGGCTTATACAGAGCGCCTCAGTGCCTGTTGAAAGAGAGAGATGCAAAGAGCGAAGCACTCATGTTTATGGATGACGGTGGCTAACACAATCCCTCTGTAATACATGGGAGCTCTCCAGTACACTGCTCTGTGTGGGACCGATCCCGAGCCAGCTACAGGCACATTTTACATATACATTTTCGTCATTTAGCAGACGCTCTTATCCAGAGCGACTTACAAATTGGTGCATTCACCTTATGATAGCCAGTGGGACAACCACTTTACAATATATCATATATATATACTTTTTTTGGGGGGGTGGGGTAGGGGGAGGGTAGAAGGATTACTTTTATCATATCCCAGGTATTCCTTAAAGAGGTGGGGTTTCAAGTGTCTCCGGAAGGTGGTGAGTGCCTCCGCTGTCCTGGCGTCGTGAGGGAGCTTGTTCCACCATTGGGGTGCCAGAGCAGCGAACAGTATTGACTGGGCTGAGCGGGAACTGTGCTTCCGCAGAGATAGGGGGGCCAGCAGGCCAGAGTTGGATGAACGCAATGCCCTCGTTTGGGTGTAGGGACTGATCAGAGCCTGAAGGTACGGAGGTGCCGTTCCCCTCACAGCTCCGTAGGCAAGCACCATGGTCTTGTAGCAGATGCAGGCTTCAACTGGAAGCCAGTGGAGTGTGCGGAGGAGCGGGGTGACGTGAGAGAACTTGGGAAGGTTGACACCAGACGGGCTGCAGCGTTCTGGATGAGTTGTAGGGGTTTAATGGCACAGGCAGGGAGCCCAGCCAACAGCGAGTTGCAGTAATCCAGATGGGAGATGACAAGTGCCTGGATTAGGACCTGTGCTGCTTTCTGTGTAAGGTAGGGTCGTACTCTGCGAATGTTGTAGAGCATGAACCTACAGGATCGGGTCACCGCTTTGATGTTAGCGGAGAACGACAGGGTGTTGTCCAGGGTCACGCCAAGGTTCTTTGCACTCTGGGAGGAGGACACAACGGAGTTCTCAACCGTGATGGCGAGATCATGGAGCGGGCAGTCCTTCCCCGGGAGGAATAGCAGCTCCGTCTTGCCGATGGTTCAGCTTGTGGTGGTGATCCGTCATCCACACTGATATGTCTGCCAGACATGCAGAGATGCGATTCGCCACCTGGTTATCAGAAGGGGGAAAGGAGAAGATTAATTGTGTGTTGTCTGCATAGCAATGATAGGAGAGACCATGTGAGGATATGACAGAGCCAAGTGACTTGGTGTATAGAGAGAATAGGAGAGGGCCTAGAACTGAGCCCTGGGGGATACCAGTGGTGAGAGCACGTGGTGCGGAGACAGATTCTCGCCACGCCACCTGGTAGGAGCTACCTGTGAGGTAGGACACAATCCAAGAGTGAGCAGCGCCAGAGATGCCCAACTCGGAGAGGGTGGAGAGGAGGATCTGATGGTTCACAGTATCAAAGGCAGCAGATAGGTCTAGAAGGATGAGAGCAGAGGAGAGAGAGTTAGCTTTAGCAGTGCGGAGAGCCTCCGTGACACAGAGAAGAGCAGTCTCAGTTGAATGACCAGTCTTGAAACCTGACTGGTTTGGATCAAGAAGGTCATTCTGAGAGAGATAGCAAGAGAGTTGGCTAAAGATGGCACGCTCAAGAGTTTTGGAGAGAAAAGAAAGAAGGGATACTTGT